ATTTTCTGATTCTTCTAAATTTTCTAAATTGTTTATATTTGTAGAATAGTTTTTTAATATTTCTAATGCAGATTTAGAAATATTATTATAATCATTTAATTCAGAATCAAGAAGTTTACTAAGTTCTTCTAAAACATAATCAGAAATTCGACGATGTGATTTATATTTTTTAACAATATAATCAGCTAATCTTCTTTTAAAACCTTTTTGATATAAATTCATAAATCTCCAAGATCATCATTCATATTTTCTTATAGAGCTTAAATTAACAGATGTTAATGCAATTGGAATATTATTTTTTAAACTTTGTAAAGAATATCCACAATTAGCTCTAGTAGAGTTTTTCACTGCTCCCTAATATTGTTCTATAAAATTTAGCTCACAATGAAATTTAGGATAGAAAATACACAAATGTCCAGCTTTTGTAATAAATTCTTCTAAAATACATTTTTGATTTAAAAAATCAGGCTGTAAAGATAAGATTCTTCTTGCACAACATTTAGTTTTAGCTGGATCAAAATTTTTAGCTTTACAATCTGAACAATCTAATACATAATTTTGATCCCACAATCCACGTTCTTTTAAAACATCTTCAATTCCTTTTGGTATTTGATTTTGATCTACTATTTTTTGAATTTTGGTTAGATTATTAGAATCATATTGAGTATCTCTCATTTTATATTTACCACCTGACCCTTTATTCATTTTTTTAGCAACAAGAACATCATCTGCATATTTTAAATGTACAGGACTATTATCAAAAGCAAATAATCCTATACAACCTGAAAATTCTTCTTTAAATTTTTTAATCATATTTTTAATATATTGCATAAATTGATCACTATTCCAATATCTATCATTATTTTTTCCAGGTTGAAATATTTGATAGCTTAGTAATCCTTTTTTAAATGTTATATTTGCACAAATCATTAATGATAATTGTGGACCCTTTTTTTTTTATAACAATTTTTTGTCCATATACATGTAATTCCTTCTTCAGTTGTGCATATACATTCATCTTGAGAGCAATATACAATTTCTTTATCATTATAAAGTCTTCTAGGTGGTATTATAAATTCCATATTATTACCAGTATATATTGTCATATATTGTTCATACTTTTTCATCATTGCTATAAAATTTTGACAATATGATTTGACATCACTTCTTTCATGCCCATCCCAATATATTCCTATTTAAAATAATTATTTAAATACTATATATTTTATTATTTAAATAAATTATATATAATAATAACAAATACCTTTTTTTAATACTTCATAATTATATCCAAGTTTTTTTAACTAACTAATTGCTGTTTTTTTACAAATTGGTTTATCCAAAAATTCTTTTTTCACAAAGGTTTTAAATTTTTTAGAAGTTACGATACCACCTTGAGAGTCTATCCAATCTTCAACTTGTTTTTTAATTTCTAAATTTTCAATTAAAGAATTTTTTTTTGGATGCTTTCCTTGTTTACTTATTGGAAAGCTAACATTATTTTCAAGCCAAGTATTAGCCCAATTTCTAATTGTTCGTTTTTTATCCGATTTAGGTTTAATATAAACTTTATTGGCAGCTTCTTGACTTGCAATTTCATACTTATTTTTATATTCGTCTAAAATAATTAATTGAAAATATTCATAAATTGCCTTCAATTTATTATATTCATTTGCAATTAAATTATTTTCTTGTTCTATAAG